ATATTAAAAGCTGCTTGCATTGTAAAATTAAAATTTGTGGAATTTTCTGAAATTTAAAAAAATTGCTTAATATTGAAATACAATTTTTATTTTTAAAAAACAAATCCCTCAAAAATATTATTTCAATTAAACATATGTATATATATTGTCTTAAACTAACTAAAAAATATTTCAAATTTTATTGAGACGAATTGCACAGACTCTGTGACTTCATTATCGAAACCTCTTCCAGTGTAACATGCTTACAGACAAGCGTAGTCTTTGCCAATGTGGAACAATTACACAAGAGATGCTCCATTGTTTCCCTGGTGCCTTACTCAAGGCATTTCCTGCAGTCTTCTCGATTTAGGAGCTCTATTCTGTGGGCGTGATCATCTGGTATTCCCATCAATTCCCTAGTGTCTCTTCTATGGAGTGCCAATAGAAATTTTTTGTACTTCCGATCTACCGTTTTTCACACGACTTTTGTAGCCTTGCACGAGCTATCTGGTCGTACCATCGTGTTTTGAGTTTCTTTACCATGCTTCTTTCGAGATCTTTCCAAATGTTGATCACATTTTCGGATGTTAGCCGTACACTCTCCTTGGCAATCTCCTCCACTATATGATTGCCTTCGATGCCTTTGTGACCTGGCATCCAGTAGAAGTGAAGTTGCTCGTTTCTGGCAACACTTCCCTATGCAGCTCTGCTTCCCTAGACACTTCTGGCCGATATTCGATGCGAGGTTACTGCCTAGATTGCTGCTTGACAGTCTACGTAGATGTTGACTCTGGAATTGACTGCAGGTGCATTGAGGGTCACTTTTGCGGCTTTTGCAATATCAAAAACATTATTTTGAAATATACCGCAGTAGTTCAGCAACTTAAAAGGCTGCCTAACCCCCGATAGTATATCCCCACATTAACTTCATACTCCGTATAAATGTTTAGAATCTTACGCGCTGCTAACACATATTTACTTTGAACCTTTTTCTCGGTTGAAAATTGAGATTATGTACTCGGTGCTTGCAAACCGATCCATGCTAAGGTTCTATATGCAAGTTCTTCGACGAAGATGTCTATAAATGGTAGGTTTAATACCAGTTCAAGAGCCGCCGGTGGAGTTCTTCTTATAGCTTCCGTTATGCACAGCGCAGCGAGGCTCTGAACCCTCTCCACGGACTTCCGGTAAGTGAATTTCCGTTCGCCTGTTCAATAGCTGTGTAGCACCAGTACATGAGAGAACAAAATAGTCCCCAGATTGTGCCGAGTATCTGCGTTTAGACGCATATAAAGCATTGCTAGTTTTTCCAGGTACTCGGTAAAAACCTTGAGAATTGTGTCCCATTTATCGAAGTGAGCCGCCATAGAAGAATTTTGTGTATTTTGTGAAGACAAACAGATCCCTTTTCTCTATTTTCAACCCCAGGCCCGCTTGCAATGACCAATTCTGGACTGTACTGAAAGTGGTGGTCAAAATATTGTTAGTGATCTGTAGAAACCTATCCGTTATTAAGTTATCGTCCACATATGCACTACCTTAGGGACTTTAACGTCTAAGCTCGTTATCAGTTTACACACCACTAATGCCCATAAAGGCGGACATAGCACAAGTTCTGCCTTTATTCGTCTACAGTTCAAAAGACTGCCAATCGAACGTTGTTATAGAAGGCTCAATACTTACTGACGGACTACTATTCAGAAAAAAATATGTAGAAGCGTTGTTAAACGCTAGAGAAATGTTCCGGAATCCTCAAGTAGCATCTTTCTTATATTCAAGAGCTTCTGCGATATTAAATACTATTAATTATTAAATGTATGGAGTGCAGTCTCGGCTGGTATGCCTTTCGTATATGCGCGCTGCGCCTTGAACAAGCTTCTGGTAGGCATCGCGGCTCTAATAAGCACGTCCAAGATATTCTCTGACATTTTCAGCAAGAAAAAAGTTAAGCTTATATGCCTAAAGTTAGATTTGGTCCGAAATAAGTTGGATTTTTTTTTTCTACCTACCTTCGGTACGGAAACTACCATAGCCTCTCTCCAAGAGTGTGGCACAGAGCTGAACTCCATTTATCCCCAAAAAATTCCATTCAAAAGAACCGCAAATATTTTTATAGGGAGACATGTAGGAGGTGTACTCAAGGTATTTTGATATTTACTCGAGTTATCGGTTCAAGGCACGAACTTTGAACAAATGATGTAAATGCATTAGGATCCTATATTAATAACGATTATTTTGCGGTGTTATTGTGCTCTAATGATTGTTTTATTATTCAAAAAATAATTTTACTGATTTAATTTAATTTTTATTGTATAATTTATTTACCAAAAAATGCTTAATTTCCTAAATTCCAGTTATTTTGGACAAAAACCACAAAAAATATGTGTGTACATATGTATGTGTGTTGAAACCCTATTCGATAAAAAATTCCAATCACCCAACTACATGTGTGTGCGCCTAAGAAAAAGCTAGCGAAATAACTGTAATAAAACATGCACTAATACAAGTACATGATCTAAGTATGTATGTATATGAAATTGTACGGTAGTCATACCTTAAACTAGTAGCAAAATTTTAAATGTAAATACCGTTTAAGTCTAATTAAAACTACAACACACACACACAAGTACGCAACCAAGCACACTTGTATGTATGTGTGCGTGAAAAATGCAAATCGTCTTGATTAGAATTTCATCTAGGAATTTTACAAAGAAACACAAACAGCCGAGAAAATATATATAAACATACACACCCACATATATGTATAATGTCGAATTTCTGTCCAACTAAAATCGGTTTGTAGTGTAAAGTTGGTGTGCTCGAAGTTTCTTTATAGTAAAGAAATCAGCTTGTGGTCTCACACAAATTTGTATTTCCAACGGCATTTGTAGGTGTGTGTACCCGCATTCTAGTTGAGAAAGGAGATGAGCAAGAAAATATGCATATATGACGCGTCTAACGATTTTAAAGAACAAACTTATAAAATAAATTAATAAAAACAAAAACAAAAAGGAAAAGGAAAACAATTCGCCATGATAACTCTGAGTAATTACATTGTGAAAATAAAAATGAAATTATAAATAGAAATAAATTATTTAAGAGTTTTATTATTATTCTGGGGTTATAACCAGTTCAGAACTCCAAAGAGGCGATTTCTTCGAATGTATTTATAGGCAAAGAGTTTCGGAGATATGCGCTTACTTGACAGAAAATCGAAATCGGCTCCCAAAGTTTTAAATTCATTATTCTTGAAAACTTCTTTTCAGAGTCGGTGAGAAGAAATTTGCCGGAATAGCTAGAGCGATCGTGTTAAGGTTTTTACGGAACATTCATAAATATATTTGTCAGGAAAAAGATTTTCGATAAACGATGAACCTGCATTCAGTGAAAAAAGTGTTTTCTCTGACTGGAAAGCGGACATAAGTCATTAAAGGTTGCTTACATTATAGTATTTCCTGGCATAGGAATCTTGTATGGATCCTCTCTGACGATATTAAAAACCTTAATAAATTATCATACCGATAAGTGGGTATTCTATACTTTATTCTCACTCTCTCTCTCTCTCGATGGCGCTCAACTGTATCCAATTCTTCTGAGATTATTAAGAGATAACGGAGCTTTAGAAGATATAAGATAGAAAATTTCATTTACGACTGAGTTCAAGCCGCAGCAATTCAATATGGTACATTACATAATATAATGATTGTCAAAAAAGTCTTGCGGTAATATAATGGAAATTAGACAGCATCGATACTTAATGGAGAGTTTAATACGAGTATATCAGATGCCATATTGACAAAAGTGCACTTAACTCACAAAATTTTTTGGTATAGGCTTACTATTATACTGGTTCTAAGGTTATATAATTGAAGTTCGAGTCGGATTTGAATT